AATGCTTTGCTAAAAATAAACGGAAAAAAATACATTTCTATATCCAAAAATAGTTCTTTACTTATAATTTTATATTTGACCCAATAATAATTTACTTAGTAAAACAATACTTTATTATTCATTAAAGTATTTGATAAATGTTAATTTTCAACTCCTTATATATTCATTTTAAGTATTTTTTATTTAAACAAAGAATAAAAAATGTATTTAATTAAATAAAGGATTGTTCTTTAATTAAGTAAAAATGTTTTCTCTTTTAAAATCCATATAATTTTTCTATTAAAAACTCAAATAAGATTTCAATTAAATATATATAATATTGCAATACCACTAAATTATTATTATTATTATTATTATTTTTAATGTGCTTTCAATAGGCACCAGACCCAATTACAGAAGTACACAATGACATATTTAGGTAAAAAAGAAACCGTTATTTATTATAATAGAAATTTTTGGATAAAACCACATGAATGCAGACATAAAACAAAATGAAGCAAATGAAGGCATTTACGGATAAAATCGGATAAATGCACACATAAATCCAAATGCAGGTATTTGCAGATAAAACCGGACGAATACAAACAGAACGAAATGCAAGCAAATACGGATAAAACCAGATCAATCAAAATGCGAATAAAACCTGACGAAAGCAGGCAATCGCGGATCGTGGATGAATGCAGACATAAAACCAAATGCGGGCATTTGCGATTAAAACCGGATGAGTGCAGGCATAGAACAAAATGCAGGCGATCGCGGATAAAACCGGATGAAATCAGATATTTGCAGATTAAACTGGATGAATGCAGACATAAAAACAAATGCAGGCAACGCGGATAAAACCGGATGAATGCAGACATAAAACAAAATGCAGGCATTCTCAGATAAAGCCGAATAAATGCAGACACACATAGAACGAAATGCAGGCGATCGCGAATATAACCGGGACGAAATCAGAAATTGGCGATAAATTCGGATGAATGCAGGCAATCGCGAATAAAATTAGATAAGAGTATCATAACGTCAATGCCGGACGTTTGCGGATGATATTTACAACCGGTATTTCAAGTGAAATCCGACGTGACGGGTAAAATCTGATACGACAAAGGCAGCCATACTCGGACATAAAACCAGCTTGGTTTGTCATCCGCCCATGCCTATTTTAGCAGGGAGCACACATAATAATTATATTTTAAAACAATGAATATTATTAACACTTTTTATATAAAAGCTCTTATTGTTTGAAGTAAAATTTAAGTGTTTAAGCCTAAATAAAAGTATGCTGGCATCCTCTTATTAGCACCTAATTAAATATAATCAACTTAGGAGCACATTGATTAAAAAATAAAATTTTGTTTTTATTGATTTTTTTATTAAAACACGTTTTTAATATACTTTATATTGTTTTTATGTAAATAATATTTTATTTTACGGAACTAAAAGTCCAATAAAAAAACTCGATTTTTTATCACAGTACGCAATTTTACTTCCTTAATAACTTAATGTAAGTTGTGGTTTTACCTAATTAGACCTGATTTAAAAAAATATATTTTATAGGTCCCTTGTAAATTACAAAAAAGATAGGTGCGAATATTTGAAAAAAACACGTTTTCTTTGAAAAAAAAATTAAAAAGTTTTCTTGAGAAATAGTTACTTAATATGTCTATATAATTTAAAAACAATATTTTTGATAGCTGATGATCTAAGCTAAGCGCTTATTTAAATGTTGTCAAAAATATAATTTTCGTTAAGGTAAAACATTTTCATAAATTTATAAAGAATCACCGCTGAAATTTTTATTATTTCAATGCAGATATAATGTAGATTCACCTATAGGTGTTTAAAAAAAATTTCAAACTGACGAACCGTTCTTGTCAATCATGCCAACATTGTGACGCCATCTTTTAAAAATTCTAAGGACTTATCAATATGCCTTCGTACATTTTATTAGTAGTTAATTTCAATAAAAAGCGTTATCAAAAATTATCAAGATCGCAAATTGAAATAACTCTCTCTCTTCCTTTTAGATTTTTTCGCTCTAAAGAAAAAACATTTAAAAAAAATTCGGTGAAACATTAGGGCATCAGTACATTTGACACATATGTAGTTTGGCATATTTTTGACTAGGTGGTACCTAGAGTTTGCTTAGAATCTCTGCTTCCATTTCTGCAACAGCGGTTCAACAATTTTTCATATCCGCTTCCTCATCTGTTTCTGTTTTTTATATCGAAACTTATCCTAGTTATTAGTTATAATTATTATTACGCTGTGATCTCTTCGTCATGATGCGTCACTGTAAAAAGCATAATAAATTAAAATTGATATATACAGGGTGGCCGATTTATCTGAAGACATTGAAATATTTCGAAAACTACGCATCGGATCAAAAAAAGTTTTGAATAAAATTTGTTCGCCTGGAAGGGGGCCATCCAATGATACCACAGTCGACCCCTCACCACCACCCCCTGAGGTGGGGGTAGGGGCAACTTTAAAATTCTAAATAGGAACCCCCATTTTTAATTGCAGATTCAGATTTCCCATTAAAAAAGAAGTAGCTTTTATGGAAAACCTTTTTTTTAATTCCGCTGTAATCGCAAGAAACCCTATATGGGAATATCTTGAAAAATTGCAGATTCGGATTTCCCATTAAAAAATATTATTAGTGTATACGAGAATTGTTAGGGAATTCAAAATAAATTAAATTAATTAATTCCTTTTGATGACTAATGCGTCCAGGTATGTACATATGTAGGTATGTTATAAAAACATATTTATACCTTATGCGTCTATAAAAACATATGTCCCGTTTTTATAGACGCAACATTCGCAGTTGATTTAGAAACGTAGTGAGAAATGAATGCTGCAACCGTAGAAGAAAAAAATGAAATGATTCTGATTTTCGAAGAATGTAGGCGGAATATTGACGATGCTGTTGCCTTATATGCTGAACGTTTTCCAGATAATATTCGTTCACGCTCGTTTTTTTATAAAGTTGTTCAATCCTTTAAATCCGACGGTAGTGTAAAACTTAAAAAAAGAAAACGAAGAAATACTGTCACAGGAGAAGCTAATGAAATTAATGTGATAGCAGCTGTTCAACATAACCCTCATGTAAGCACTCGGGAAATACATCGGGATTTCCAGAGATAGTATTCGGAGAATATTGAATCGTCACAAGTATCACCCATACCGGGTTTCACTGCATCAGGAACTTCATGGCAATGATTTTCATCGGCGAGTAGAATTTTGTGAATCGGCAATTCAGCAAATACAAAGAAATCCCAATTTCTTCGCTAATGTACTATTTTCAGATGAGTCCACATTCACAAACCATGGTTCCGTTAATCGGCATAACATGCACTATTGGAGTGTGGAAAATCCCCACTGGTTACGACAAGTTAAACATCAACGTCCCTGGTCGGTTAACGTTTGGTGTGGAATTTTAGGTAACAAACTTTAGGTTCTTATTTCATTGATGGAACCTTAAATGGAATCAAATATCGAAATTTCCTGGAACATGAACTACCACCTCTACTTGAGGATGTTGCCCTGCCCATTCGACAAATTATGTGGTTTCAGCATGACGGTTGCCCACCCCATTACTCAGCAACAGCACGGGAAGTATTGAACCGTGATTTCAATGGCCGATGGATCGGCAGAGGTGGCCCGGTTAATTGGCCTGCTAGGTCACCTGGTTTGACATCGCCGGATTTTTTTCTGTGGGGTTATCTAAAAGATAAGGTTTTTCAACAAGCACTAACAACTCGGGAATACATGATACAGCGCATAAGAAACGCTTGTGCTGAAATTCCCGCAGATATGCTCCTCTCCTGGGTACAATCATTTGAAAAAAGAATAAATAAGTGTCTAGAAGTTCAAGGTCACAATTTCGAACATTTAATCTAATTTATTAAACAGTGAGAGGCAGGGGGACTCTCTTAAAACTAGCACCACGATGGGAACAAAAAACTACTGCGTCCTGGTCCTTGTTCTTGGGTAACGTTAAAAATAGATGTTAACTTATTGATATACGAATAAAATCCAAAAATTAAACAAGTTTTTCTTTTTTTCGATCCGATGTGTAATTTTTTAAGATATTCCCAAAAATCGGGTTTCTTGCGATTACAGCGCCATCTATCAGGAATTAAAAAAAGTTTTTCCACAAAAGTTACTTATTTTTTAATGGGAAATCTGAATCTGCAATAAAAAATGGGGGTTCCTATTTAGAATTTTAAAGTTGCCCCCACCCCCACCCCAGGGGGTGGTGGTGAGGGGTCGACTTTGGTATCATTGGATGGCCCCCTTCCAGGCGAACAAATTTTATTCAAAACTTTTTTTTATCCGATGCGTAGTTTTCGAAATATTTCAATGTCTTCAGATAAATCGGCCACCCTGTATATATATTTTTTTAATATTATTTATACTTCCGCTTTCGCATCCGCTTTTGTCCGGCTTCCATAAACTGCTTCTGTTATGCACAATTCCATTGAATCACTAGTGGGACCCGATGTGTCTACCCCCTATAACATTTTATAAGTTCTCGTTTTTTACCTGCCTTTTGCGGATTGTATTTAATTAAAATACCTAATATATTTAATTCAAATAATAATAATAATAATAAACTTTATTGGAAATCCAAATGGCTAACGACTTCCTGCGCTAATAATATATAATATTTAAATCAGTTTTATATATAAACCTAAAAATTTTAATGGAATAAAAGCTGGGTAAAATTTTTTTAAGTTAATTATTGTAAAATAAATAATAAATTGTTTACATAAACATTGATTTATCTAATTTATACTGTATTATATATTACAACTAACATATTTTTAATTAATATGTCGACGGAGGGCAGTATGTCCACGAATAGAGGGCCCAAGAGGACAAATGGACTAAAAATTTCATTTTTCGCCAAAATCATTCTTCATAAAAAGTTCTGCTTGTTTTGAAAAGTATATTTCAACAAGCAGAACTTTTTATGAGGAATAAGTTTTGGTCGAAAAATGAAAATGTTAGTCCATTTGCCCCCTGGGCCCTCTATCCGTGGACATAATGTATAATGTTTTTATATAGGTATATTTAAACACTATTTTTTAATGCGTATATTTTATAATTTAGAGTTACTCAATATAGACTTTAAAATTAAATCAACAGCATCCATAGCGCATCCAATAGATAATGTTATTCCACTGCCCCCGTGTCCATAATTATGCAACACCCTGACCATCTTTCCTTTAATATTCCTAAGCTCTAACTCTAGCCTCAACTCTGTTCTTCCAGGTCGTAAACCCACTTGTTCTTTGATGATGTCTGCCGTTTCTAATGAGGGCACAATATTCATACACCCTTTTAGGATGTGTTGTGTATCTATCGCGTACACTTGTGTATTATATTCCCTTTGCTTCGTTCCCCCCAGTATAACGCAATTTGTGTTCGGTATAATGTAATTGTTATCGACACATATGGAGGAAAACAACCAAGGAGCCGCTACTCTGGCTATCTGACCTCTAATTGGAAAAACATGTGTGTCTTGAAGTAATTTTGCTGCACCTATTCCTGTGCAGTTAACAATTACATCAAAATCATTAAGTTTATCCAAATCTTCTATCGTTTTATTTATAATTTGTCCACCTTTTTGTAGAAACTGTTTCTGTAGATACGGTAGGAATGTCGATGCTTCCCAGGTGAAGGATACAAATTGTATTCCAGCAGCAAAATTGTGGTTGGTGTCTTTGGAAAGTTTTTTTAAATAATCTTTTGATAAAACAGAAAAACCAAGGGTATATTTTAACCATTGCGGGGGTATAAAGTTAGGATCTTCGGTTACTTTAATTACTGGTTGCAATACTATCCCTGCATTTTTCGCATATCCTAAAAAAAGTAAGATTAATTTATTTGTATTTATTTGCTTTGTTTTAATACATTTTTAATAATAATCCCAATATACAGATTTGCTCATAAATAAAAAATATTTTGTACAGTAGTTAAAGTTCATTTCACTGATAAAACTATTGTTAATATTCATCAGTTTAAACTTGAAGTTATAAAAAATATTATATAAACTTATATTTAAATACTGATAAAAGAAAACTTCACAATTGTTATTGCTTAAATTGAAATACTAATAATTATATAATGTCTTTGATTTTTTAATTAAAAAATTGTGTAATAAATTTTAAAAAACTTAATGTTTAGTAAAGGGCTGTGCGACAATGTTTACAGATAGGTCGAAACACGTCTCCATCGAATTAGATGCGATTGGTCATTCGTACGGTGTGCCGACAGTCGTTCCACATGTTGCTAAACACTAAATGAACTTTTCCATTTTTAGTCGATAAATAAAGTCGGTAACAATATTTCTTTAGTTGGGACAACGTGATATTTCTCGACAATGTTTATGAAAATAGCAACAAAAGTTGGTGACAATGTCGTCAACTTGTGTTGCTTTGGTGGAGACCCAGCTTAACGCTCAACGAACGAAGTACTGACTTATGTGGACGCTGCTTCTGTACTTTAGAGATAGAAGCTATATCACCTCCTTATTCCACCCTGGTGGCTACCGAAAGAACCAGATTGAAGCGCGGTTCATTCAAATTTAAATTATTGTTTTATTGTCTAACCATACTTTTTACTCAGAGTCTCTGGTTGTGTTTATGCTGCCGTTATATAAAAACACTGTTTTATTGTATTGGCTGCTGTGCTTGGTATTTCTTGGATTTAATGCTCCTAATTGAAATACATTGACACTTGCAGACTAATTAATTAGTGTTTAAACTGCATAGGACACTTTGGAGAGGTATCGATGTCTTGAGTGTATCGGAGACCTGGTTGAAAATCAGCGACCCACACCAAATTTATAATACTTTATAATGACATTAAATAAACAAGTTCGGCGCAAACAGAATTTAAATTAAAGTGGTGCAATTTATTATCTACTATAATTTATCGACAAATTTAAAATTTTATATAAAAAATCCAAATATTACAGGTTTTATACCATTTTAAATATTTTTTTATTTTAATAAAATAAATAATAAAAATTTAAAATCGAATAAAATCTGTAATATTTGGATTTTTTAAATAAAATTTTAAATTTGTCGATAAATTATAGTAGATAATAAATTGCACCACTTTAATTTGAATTATCTTAAATACGGGGGCCTGGAGGCGGGTGAGGCGACTGGAAAAACTAACTTTTTTTCGCAAACTTCAATTTAAATTCTGTTTGCGCCGAACTTGTCTATTTAATGTCATTATAAACTATTATAAATTTGGTGTGGGTCCCATGTCTAATAACTGAGCCGCCACTGCCTTCTAATATCACTTTTATCTATGGAATGAAATATATTCCGTAAAGTGTTACAGAATGAAATATTCTATCATCTGACGACAGAATAAACACTCGTGACGACATCTCTGTTTTTAATAATCTAACAAATTTTAGACCGATCCAACCTCACTTTCTTCCAATTAAATTATTTTTCTATGGTATTTTTTGGAAACGTAGAAAAAGTATAGTCTGAAACACGTTTGGAATTGCATATTCCGCTCTCGTGAAACCGTCAAACTCGCCTTTGGCTCGTGTGACAAACTCTTCACTCGAGCGGAATATGCTGTATTCCAAACTTGTTACAGAATATACTATTATCAACCAAATCGTATTGAAAAATACCTACTAATTTTAAGGTTTCAACTGACGCTTGTCAGGTTGTCAGTAGTATATGAGTGGCGACTATAATAATCAAAGACCGGATTTTAGGCCGTTAAAAATTGGAAATTAGGACACATAAATAGGCAATAAAAACCTACATTTTAGGCCGTTTTAGGCCCAAAGTGCCAAAAATAGGACTCAACGTTGGCGTAACTAGCCATCTGACCCGGGGGGGGGGCTAGGGTGGTCCTGTTATTTTGACTAGGAATCTTTAAAAAAAGTAAAACAAATGTGGTCTCCAAAAGGAAAATAACAATTTTTTTGAACAAACAGTTTCAGTGAGAAAGGAAATAAGTACTACAATGTGATCTTGAGGATGTGTCCAAATATAATTGATGACCGTTTGTACCGCGCATGACCGTTTGTTGTTATGAAAAGATACAATTGCTACATACACCTTAAGTGTATGTGCGCATGTTGGGCGGGGCTTAAATACGTCACGTTGAGTATTTTTAAATCTTTAATTATCTGGTGCTAAAATTCTTGTTTTTGCTGGCTATTGGATGTGAACTTGCTCTATTTTTTTTAACTTGTTGTTTTTGCGTTTAGTGACGTTCGAATTACTTTTCATTGTTCAAATTATTGTTATTGCGTTGTGTTAACCTGTTCTGTTTGTTTATTATTATTTTTGTGTTGCGTTGAAACTTGTTTTGTTTGTGTTTTAGTTTGTGTCGTGCCATTTGCATTTATAAAATGCGGTGTGGCATATTTGTATGCAATTTGGACAACCAGTCCAAGAAAAACCCTTTAAATAAAAACAAATTTCAACGATTCCCGAAAAACTTTGATTTTTGTAAACAGTGGTTAAATTCCATAAAAATAATAGACAATATTAACGTTAAGACCGCTTCTGTTTCCTCTAAACATTTTCATCCAAATATTCATCCAAATATGCCACACCACATTTTTATAAATGCAAATGGCATGACACAAACTAAAACACAAACAAAACAAATTAACGCAACACAAAAACAATAATAAACAAACAGAACAGGTTAACACAACGTAATACATATATGGAAATTACAATAAAACCTATGAAAACAAAGTAAATAATAATGTTTAAGCATTATTTTACAAACTTAATATTATCCATAATTATTTATAATAAATATTTAGATATAACAAAAACACAATTACGTTTTTCATTAGATTTTTACTAGTTTTGTAATTTGTGGTCCTCGTACTGGCCAAGGCCGTCTAGGCGAAATAAGAACAAGAAAGCGGGGCCTAATTAAAAATAATAATTTTTCGCAATTGAAAAATATATTTTTTCTGAAAAATTAAAGGAGCCTATTTTAGGCTCATAAAAATTTCCTTTTAGGACCCTAAATCAAAATTTCGCCATTTTAAGCTTTTAGGCAAAAACAAAGGGGTGTCAAACGCTTTATTTTTTTAAGTTTAGGATTAATATCAAGGTCCGAAACAAATGCCTGAAATAGAAACGAAAAGGCATTTTGCCTAAATTCCGGCCCTTGATAATAATCTATTTTGATTTTTATTTTATTAATTTGATTAATACAAAAAAATTAACCTGTTCAATGTGCAAAATAACTAAGTTTTTTATCTTATAAAAATTTATTTTATACGCTACTCTTGTGAATCAAGAAAACTATCAATTTTCTTCACATGTAGAACATACTACTATTTTTATATTCTTAATGGAAAAGAGCTTACTTTATTAAGAAAAAATTGAAAAATTATAGTAGTTTTATGGTTAGCAACACAATCTTAAAAATTCTAAAAAAAAGTACCAGTTTTAAGGTTAAAAAGTCTATCTGATGGATTTTACTTGTAAACGAGGGGCGACTAAAATAATTTTTCTACAACCAAGCGAAAAGTACAAATTTGCGCTTCCAAAGAGCGAGCGTTTTTTTTACTTTGTCGCTCTAGAAATCTGCCTGAAACAAAATTACTTTTAATTTTATAATAAAATATACACAAGCCATAATGGATTAATTATGGGGAATCCACTAATTCCATTACTAGCTGATATTTTTGTAAACCACTTAGAATTAATCATCCACAAACATCCTAATATGAAACAATTCTTATATTGGTACCGATATGTAGATGATATCCTAACATGTTTTACAGGTACAAAAAGACAATTAAATAGCTTCCTAAAGTTTATTAACGAGATACACCCTAATATTAAATTCACCATGGAAGAAGAACAGGATAATCAAATTAACTTTTTAGATCTTACCATCCAAAAAAAGAATAGCACTCACACATTTAAAATTTACCATAAACCTAGTTACACATACATAACAATAGGTACATAATAGTTCTTCACATCCTTTTTCTCAAAAAATAGCAGCATTTAATTCCATGATACACATACTTTTAAACGTACCTATGACAGAATTATAATTTCTTGATGAATTAAATTTAATAAGACAAATTGCTGTTAATCATGGTTATAGCGCACATTTAATTAATTAATAATAATTATTAATAATTAATAATATATTATATATATACTAAGTAACAAAAAACTGAAAATGGCTATAAATCAAGTCTTTCCAATACAAAAGAACCCCACATTTACATACAAGATTGTCACATACTTAGGTACTAAGACTAGACAAGTGTCGAATTTCTTCAAAAAAACATAATATTTCTATTGAATTTAAAACCAACAACAATTTGTGAACATTTATAAAAAAACAAAGATAGAAAGAACTAAGAAAGATACGAAATCCGGAGTCTACCAACTACAATTTGCAGACTGTCCAAAAACTTACATAGGCCAAACTGGCCGGAATTTTAAAACCAGAATTAACGAACATAGAAAATCTTTTATAAATCAAAAAACAGATTCAACTTATGCCAACCATTTAATTCAAGAAAACCATTGATTTAACAATAAATTTAAAATTTTACATGTTGTAGATAAAGGTACGAAGTTAAATTAACTTGAATCATTAGAAATTAATAATTTAAAAAAATCTGATAGTATCCTCAATGATCAAATAGAAACAAATAATTCCCCTCTGTTAAATTTATTCTAATATTAGGTATATAAAATTCCCCAAAATTATATTATTTAAAGTGTTGTTAAATTATACTTCGAGAGGTAAAATTGTCATACTGTACTAAAATTAGTTAAAAAAAAACCATTACCTGCAATAACTGGGTTATAAAAGTTTGTTATTAAAAAAAGTTTGAAATCATTTCTTAAGAAGCTACTGTGTTAGCGAAACAATAATTGTCAAAATAAAATTGAAATAAATTCGTGAAACTCAAAAAACAGTGTTTGTTTTTATTTAGTTATACATTAGTGACATGTTAGTTTCACCAAGTAAATTCGTGAAACTCAAAAAACAGTGTTTGTTTTTATTTAGTTATACATTAGTGACATGTTAGTTTCACTAAGTAAAGGTAGAAACAATAAAATAAACTATTTTGTGTCAAGTGTCAAGTCCAAAGGTATTGTTTTTTCGTTTATTTTAAATTATTTTTTGTAAAACTATTTATTGGTTTGTTTGTTCATTCATTTTAAATTGGTTTTAAAATTAAAGATTTATATTTTTTGGGGATTGATCCCGGGATCCCGGGAATAGTTTTTTACCTTGGTCCAGAAAGTCTCGGGATTGAAAAATAGGCACTGGTTTGACACCCCTAGTACCAATCCATTTTTAAATTTACATTTACATTGAAGTAAAAATTTTAGATTCCAATAAATTAATTAAAATAAAGAAGATTTTAACTAACCTTGCTGCCATTTGATGGCCTAAAAAATTTCAAAGTAGCGCCTGTTTGTGTTGAATTATTATCTAATCTTTCACTATATTCGTCCAATTTTCTCTACATGTTTATTTTAAGATATTTAATATTTTTATGGTTATATAAATATAAAAAATACAGAAATCAAAAATTTATTTTTACCTTCTTTCCACAAATTAATAATAAATTTGTAAGTACACAATCCCCACTTTATTATCTTGTCTTCTGAACTTTCTGACGTGTGCACTAAAGGTTCCCAAAGGCCTGCCGCGATATCGCTTGTCGTATTGGGACTTACTTTCGTCGTAAAAATTTGTATAGTTGCTCCATTTCCCAATTTTTCTTGCAAACAGAGAGCCGTAGTCAAACCTACAGCTCCACAACCGATAACAGCAACTTTAAGCATTTTAACAGAATGAGTGTTGGCCAAGAGACTGGGTCAGGTATCGGTGACCTTTTATCGTTATTATGATAATTTGTCTTTGTAAATAATATACCATTATAACATTATTATTGTTGTAAGCAATGGTTTTTTGACTAAACTATTAACTAAATTATTTTAATATTAATATCTAAAAGTGGGTATTTAGGTATAATATTAAAAATATTAAATGGTAATGATTATTATAATTATTTTTATTTTGTATATACTCGTAGTACGAACGTTTTAATATATACCCTGTCCTTTGCATCTTTCCTAATTATTTAAATAGTATAGCATGACCAGATATTGAGAAGAGGTAACCATAAGCCTAATTTAAATATTTTTTTCTGCATGATTTTGTAGATCTGCGAAAGAAACAAAAAAATATTGAATCTGCCGAAATAGAGGGAATTTGTGAAATGTCTTTATCCAAACTGTATAATTTTCAAGACTTACCAGATACTTTTTGCGGAAAATTTTTGGAAACATTTTATCCCAGGAGTGTTGTATTGTTTAACAATATAGCGGAGGTTCATTACGTCTATTATGTCATTTTATTATAATAGTATAATAAATTATAATATTATGTACTGGCCTTAAGGGGAATTTTTAAATTATGTGCGATATTTTATTAAATTATGTTTTAGCATATTTAACGATAGAGTATCGCATTGTTTTCGTATGAATTTCTACGGTCAGCAAACAAACCAATCTTTGTATGTAAGCCGAAAACTTGCCCACTGGAGTACCCCACTGGTTTTATTCTAAAGTATTTGTTGTCTGATATTACGAAAAATTAACGGTCAAATCTTTTCTGCATACGACCATCGTCACTCATAGAAAGAACACCACGTACCACGTACTCATAGAAAGAACTGCTTACCTTAAGCTAATTATTTTCAAAATAAGAATATCTTAGTTTCATATATAAGCAAGTTAATATTGTTTTAAATATAGAAAGTAGTATGTTCAAAGATATTTTATTAACTTAAGAATAATATTTCATACAATTTTATGTATACTGAAGCGATTTGGTTATTTTTGTACTACTATTCATTGTATGATATTATAATTTTGTAAAGTTGGTAACACGTCTTAATTCAAATTTTCCGCCTTTATAATTCCCCGCGAAATTTAATGGTTTTTTTGGTGATACTCGGCCACCATTTGCCTGTTTTCTTTAGCAGTTGCTTGCAACGTTTTAGATCTTTAAATTTTGTTATCATCCTCTGGATTAATGTTCGTTTTGTTAAACGAAAAGTTATCTGGTGAAACATGCAGGTAACTAAATTAATATATTATTTTATGTTAACTTCAATTAAGTGGTGAAACAGTTTTTAGATTTAATAACCGAAGAATCAAGAAGTGTTACCAATTTGAGGTTCAATTTGTCTAAACAGAATAAAGCGTGTTCAGGAATTACAGTCTTTAAAAACCTACCACCCACACCTTCGGCAAGTTTCCAACACTTCGCTACAATACAGGTATATGGTAAAAGTAAAGCGAAGCGTCTGCGAGACATTGAATTGTGTTCTGTGTGTAACCTAAATTTTGGGCAAAAACGTTTGTTTTTTTCAAAGGTATTTAATGAAATCGAAAACGAACTCTCAACTATATATACATACCTTCAAAACTAACTTTTTAAAATATCTGCTATTAAATTCATATTTAAAGAAAAAGCACTAGATACACTGTTTAAAATATCTGTGGTGTAAAGAGTAATCCTAAAATGGTGTCAAAATCCAACACCAAGTGGTGTTAATATAACACCATGAATTATGGTTGAAAATAAACACCAAAACGGTGTTTATCTAAAAATATTTGAGAAGTGCACCTACACAGAAAAAAAGGAATAGTTCATTTAACTATATTAATTTAGTTGACCCATAAGTATTTATTTTTTTGTGGATCACGTGATTTTCTTAAATCTCGCCTCTGTTGACTTACATGAAGAATATATAAGCTCAAGCTTTGGTGTGACACTACAAGTTGTTCGATACTAGACCTTAAATAGGTGGAAACAGCTGTCAATACTTGAAGTATTTTAAGTTAGTGGAACGAACTAAAAACATTATCTCTATAATACCACTGGTAATATACTAGTAATGCGTCAAAGAACTTCCTGTTTCCTTTTTTTTCCTTTTTTCTGTGTAGTATGATTTAATTTGACCACAAACACATAATATTTAACACTGAAAAGGAGTTCAATTTACATCAGGTAAAATTTATTTTAATACTGTGTGAAAGTTAAATTAACACCATTTTAGTATTTGAATTTACACCGGACCAACGAACCATATTTAACACCATTTTGGGTTGTATCGATATAGACCATGTTTGGTGTTAATTTGGTGTTAAAATGGTCATGAAATTTTGAACAGTGTATAACAAACTATACGTTATAACTCGTAGTTAGGTGATTTCCGGTTACTGTAACAATATTGTTTTAAATCAACTACAGCTTGCCTTGATGTAATAAATCCAATGTTTAAAATAAAACTTCGTTTGATTCACGTTTAATATTTTAAATTAAAATGTTCTATATTTTAAAACAGACGGTATGTTTAATTTAAGTTGGTGAAGTCTTTAATACAAAATAAGTATAAGTTTTACTCCTAAACGATAGACATTATTAAATGTAATAACTAATGAATTAACCAATTGTCTCAAAGTAGAAAAATGCAATTTTATTTTAACCCAAATGTTACTTCGTTTGATACACGTTTAATATTTTAAATTAAAACGTTCTATATTTTAAAACAGACGGTATGTTTAATTTAAGTTGGTGAAGTCTTTAATACAAAATAAGTATAAGTTTTACTCCTAAACGATAGACATTATTAAATGTAATAATTAATGATTAAACCAATTGTCTCAAAGTAGAAAAATGCAATTTTATTTTAACCCAAATGTTACTAGCGTCCTTTTAAAAGGATGCTATATAGTTTTCTTTAATGGCTAGTATAGCTTAGGTCATTGAAATGGGGCAATCAGCCTAGTTGTTCTTTCTGACACTTATAGAAACATTTTAGAAACGCTGTTTTTGTGAGTTAAAGTTTTTGAGAGTAAATCATAAAGAACCGAAGGTAAGTAACATAGACATAATTTAAATTTATGCCTTAAAACTATATTTATTTTTCTAACATTTATAGGTTGCCTCTTGGGGTATTTTTGTTACCTTCCTTTTAAAAGGACGCTAGCAATTTAGGCAACCAATAGATTTTTAATAATTAAAAGTCTATTAGATATTTGTTATCTACTGGATAACTATCACTTATACTTTTGATACCAGCTTTTGGAAAAAGCCTTTGACTTTACATGAGATTTTGGAATAAGCTGAGAATTGTTATATTCCTATAGACGTAGTTATTTTTCAACCGGAAACTGCAAACGAAGACTGATGTGAATTCTGGTGAAGAGGACTTGGAAGATATAAATAATCTACCCGGGAGTCAACTGCGAGCACCTGTCGAAATTTTGGACATGAATGATACTAATGAAAACTCTGATTCAGAGATAGATCCTGAGGTTGTACCTATTTCAGTACTTAGTGGAAAAGGAAAGTATATTTCAAAACGAAAAATATTGGGATTTACAAAATTTCGTTCCGGGCTAAGAAATTTAACTTTCCGCTAATTTACCATTGCATTGATATGACCGTATAGAATGCATATATGCATATATATGCTATAGCATATTTATAGACTTCAATGAGGAAAAATGGATAAGCTAACTTTTATAAAAGGGATTGCAACTAATTTGCTGGAAATCTAAAAGAGGATCTCCATGTTCATCAAATAATGCTTATGCCTATTCTTGGAACGATAGGATTGACCATTTAATTATATACCAAAAGAAGCAAAAAAACAAAAACTGCAATTTAGATGTGAAAAATGTGACGTTGGGTTGCATCCCAAAGATTTTTTCAAGGAGTATCACACTAAATAAGTTAATTTTGGAAATGTGTCATTTATTGTTAATAAATATTTTGTATTATAATAAATTTTGACAAACCTATAACTAGCCCATATTACTAATGGCCTTTTAAAGGGTCCAACATTTTTTTGAAAATTTTTTAATTTAAAAATTAAAAAAAATAAATAAAGTATAAGTGAATACGATTTTTATGAACTATAATCAAGAATTTTTATAAATAATTTCAAATTTTACTTGAAAAATAAATCAGTAATGTCTGGGTTAATGCAATAGAAGGTAAAACAACGTGTTATTTTACTTTAAACAATTATTTCTATCCCCCTTTCCATAATTTGCTATTAATTTTTACCTACATTTTTTTTTATACTTAATTTTGGGTACAAATATACTTAATTTGTGATCCTAAAGGATTTTTATTTATTTTAAAAATATTTGCAGCTTAATAAAGGAATTTTTAAAATAAATCACTATTAACTTTTTAAATCTTTCGTAATATTAATAAATCATAACATAATGTATAAATCCTCACCTTAATGAAATTTATGCACAATTACTGCCTTTCCATTACGCTTAAGTATTGCGATGCATAAACATGCCCGAACGTGTTTTCCGTTGCTCTCCTGCGGACATTAACCTAATTTGATAAATGTTTGCATAACATATTCTTGCACTGGCGAAATAATGCCAGTAAATTGTAGGTCTATTATGTCATTTTATTATAATATTATGTACTGGCCTTAATTTTTTAATTATGTGCGATATTTTATTAAATTTTGTTTTAGCATATTTAACGATAAGGCATTGTTTTGGTATGAATTTTTACGGAAGTGTGGTCTGCAAACAAACCAATCTTTGTATGTAAGCCGAAACTTGCCAACTGGTTTTATTCTAAAGTATTTGTTGTCTGATATTATAAAAAATTAACGGGCAAATCTTTTCTGCATACGAACACTTAATTTTGGGTACAAATACACTTAATTTTTAATGTTATTTATTCCAAAATATTTGCAGCTTAATAAAGGATTTTTTAAAATAAATCACTAGGTATTAACTTTTTAAAT